GGAATTATTCCCAGGTTCCCTTTGTAGAATGAGAAGTTTTCCAAGGAAGGCAAAATCATTTGGTAAGTGTGGGGGTGGCTTACCCTGTGGGATGGTTTGTTGCAGATGCTTTCAAGGCCCAATTTTTGTTGCCTTTTTTTTCTAGAGAAATTTGACATGCAACATTTTATCTTACCTTTAGGATGTCAGAAAGAGGGGCCTGGACTCTTGGAGGAAATTATCGCAGCAACATCATTATGATTTAGTGTAATGCAAAGCCAGCAGGCAGGATAGGCCAAAGTTTAGATTTAATAAGCAAACTATAAGGAACTGGCTGTGGAACTTCAAAGTTGAAGGCCTTCATGGTTCAGGGACAGTTCACAAGAGTGGGAGAATTGTTCCCTGTAAAAAGATGTGACTCAGGGTGCTGTGAATCACAATCCCCTTTATATGAGGGACAGATGTTGTCCTGTGCTTGTGTGTTGGGCTCTGAGGACTGTTGTACTTCCTACCTCCACTGCTTTACTTTCTCTCTGCAAGAGCAGAAAATTTTTACCAGAGCATCAGAATTTTACCACTGAGGAGGTGAGCAGCTTCCATGCAGCATTTTATTGCTCATTGTCCTTGCACAGTTGCTAAATTACATCTGCTCTGAAGCATGTCGGTGTCCTGACTGGCTTCCAGTGGTGTGGACCTGGTTGGTTCCTGAGGCCAACCTAGCAGGCATAAAGGTCATGGGAAATAATACCTACTTTGGAACCACTTTTATATGGTCCCCAAATAAAACAGTGCATGGAATGCAGTCAGACTACTATTCTTAGGCTCAGTCATGGCTCTGAAGCGTGAGTTTTGCTCAACAGCATAGGTTAAAATGAAGGTCCTGTGGTCAACTCTGTAGTATATCAACCAGAACTCACTTAATATGCTTTTTGTAATCGCTGTGGTATCACAGTGGTAACATGTATATGGTGAATTGAAAGATTGTAATCACTAGAAATGTGCTCCATGTTAATAATTATTTATCATACAGTTGTTTTAAAAGTCTCTTTTCTTGAAGCCAAATGAATTATGACAAAAGGTCATTGTAGCAGCAAAATCGAACACTGAAAGACTAGAGATCGATGAATCCAATACTTTCTGCACAGTCTTCCCTCATTCCCCCTGTTCTGAAAATATACTCTCTTTTTCTGCAGGTTCCTTTTCTGATAGCAAACAGATCCTGCTCCGGCATCTCATTTGATTTTTTTGCATTGACTTTGTGTAGCCCCCTGGT